GAACTTGTCTTAGTTGATCTTGAAGGTTGTTCCCACCACCATAGGCACGATAAAATAGTACTTTTAGCCTCTCTTTCTTCTCCTGCGTAGTCTTTTATCCAATAGTGTTGGCGCACCTCGTCAACTTGATTGTCATTGCTAGATCCACCTCATCAAGAGGAAGGAGAAGAAGAAGCATGAAGAAGGGAGGAGAACAAAAAACCTAAGGGTATATGGAACATATTTCCTATGAAAGTATTTTTTGAAATACATATGTTGAAAAACATTTATTTTAAATATATTTTGGATTTTGTAACTCAGGGAATATTTTTAGATTTGAAAATACGTACACATTTCAGAATTTATTTTTTGAATGTATTTCGTGATATATTTTAGACATATTTCCCGATTAAAAATACCTTTGAGATTGCACAGTATGAAACTCATTAAAGAAATAAGATGCAGGAATAAATTTTATTTTTATTATAATTTTAAGAAGGGGTAATTTGGGGTTTTATGCATTTTATGGAGGTGCAGGAAATAAAAAGGAGGTGAATGAAAAACAGCTGGTTTACATAAGAAAATAGGTGATGGGATAGAATATCAAATAAATCTATGTTGATCAATCTAACTTATGTTTTATATAATATTTTAGATTTTATATGGTGGTGTAGAAATAGATCGACGCGTATGCACGTATGTGTGTGTACTGATAAAAAAATGTATATGTGTGTTTTATAAAAAATGTTACTTTTAATATAGTATTTTATTTATTTTTAAATATAATTAGTATTTACAAAACAAATATGTTTATATATAGATTAGTCTAGTTTAATATTGAAGTTAAGAATTAAAAAATCAGAACAAAAACTAATTAAAGTTAAGCCATATTCTCTCCTTTTTTTAAACATAACTTGCTTTATATATATATATAGACTTTTCGAACGCTAAGATGAAGTTGATTTTCACATCACTAATAATTACAGAAAGTTTCATTTATAATTTTCACTTGATATTTGCATCCCTGCTTTATTTATCTTCTGATTAACCTGTTATGGCGTTTTCGTCTATAATGTACGTTGATAAATTCTAGATGTAATATTTTCCTGTGATAGATTGTAACTGTGGTTTAATTAGCAGGGCGAAACTTTTGTTTTGTCTCATTGCAATTATTTTAAACGAGAATCTGTATTCAACCCCTCTAAAGTGGAAATGCGTACTTGAGAGACTTCGAAATAAGAGAGGTTGTTATATTTATACTCTTCAGGAATCCTATTTCAATTTCATGTCTCCAAAATTGGTGGTAACGGAGTATTTAAGATAATGGCTCAGATTGCTTCTCATTTTTTATTTTTTTTCAGGAATGAGATATCAAGTTTGGAAATTCATTCGAGAATGTAAAATATGTCAACAAGCGAAAGTGGAGCAGGCAACATGTATGGGATGACATCTTATTATATTTCATCGTAAATCTTTCAATTTCTAATGAATTTTCTACTATCATGACAGTGGTAGATAGGCTTTCTAAGTTTGGACATTTTATTCCACTAAAAGTTGTCTCTACCAGTAAAATAGGAGTATTGTTCTCTCCACCACCACGCCATGTACCTGCACCTCAAATTTTTTATTTTCAAAATTATCATTAGGTTAAAGGTTAAATTTTTTTTTACTTTTATCACAAATTTTTAATTTATTTTTCAAATTCTAATTTTACCTTATTCATATTCTCTGAATGCACCAGTTGCACCTCATCCTCATATCAACTCAAACTTCTTCTACCTACTTGTATCCACGTTAGATGTGAATTTTTAATTATTTTTTGTTGATTAAGTACATAAAACTATCATGAATTCGATTATACCTAATAGTTATTATTGAATTTTAGTTAATTAATCTTTCAAATTTGAATGATGAAAATTCATATCTAACGTGGATACAAGTAGGTAGAAGAAGATTGAGTTAACTTGGGGATGGGGTGCAACTGCTGCCTTCAGCGAATATGAATAAGATAAAATTAGGGTTTGGAAATTAAATTAAAAATTCATGGTAAAAGTAAAAAAGTTTTAACCTTTAATTTAAGGATAGTTTTGAAAATAAAAGAATTTGAGGAGGTGTAGGGAGCATCCCGTGGTGGTGGAGGGAGCAATGCTCGTAAGATGGTTGTTGATACTTTTATCTAGTACGGTCAAAATGGATTAGAATCCGTAAGTCAATCCAGTCCACCACAAATTTGAGTCGTATTGGATTGAAAAAAATTAAATTTTTGATACAAGCCAATTTTGAGTTCGACCCATTAAAAACCCGGCTCACCCAGTTGAACCTGTGATGAGCCAGGTTGATTTGTCAACCCACCTAATTTTTTTATATATTTGCTTTTGGATTATATTTAGAGTTTAAAGTGATTTTGGATTGTATTATATTTTTTTATTTTGAATTGTCTTTGGAATTTAACATTATTTTGGATTAAAATTATTTAAATTTGAATTAGAAAAAAAATGTTATTTTTTTTTAAACTGAAAAAGAAACTTGTCATTATGTGAGCTCGTGAATCAATTTGTTTAATCCACCAATTCGTGGTGAGTTGGGTCAAGTTCGAATTTTTTCGGCTCGCGAGTTGTGTCGAGTTGGCTCACTAGCGGACCAACCCATGGTGGGCCAAGTCGGGTTGGACTGGGTGACCCATTTTGACAACACTACTTTTATCAATAATATTATTAAGTTGTACGATAGTGCTCAATGCTACCATGGGCACAATTCTGACATAATTCTTCTTTACATTAGAGTATTCAAATGTCATTCTTCAAGACTTTGTATGATAAAGATCCTCCATAAGTTTTTCGATATGAAACCAATGTCACATATCTCGTTTCAATTCAAGAGTTATTGCGTGAACATGATGTTTTGCTACAACAATTGAAATCAAATTTGTTTAAAGCTTAATAGTACATGAAATCCCAAGCTGATAAAAGACAGAGATTTACATTTTGAGATTGGAGATTGTGTGCTTTTGGAATTGCAACCATATATACAACATTAGGTGGTTTTGAGAAAAGTTCAAAAATTAAGTATACATTACTTTGGACCTTTTAGGGTGATTGCCAAGGTAGAAGAGGTAGGTTATAAACTAAAATTATCGGATTCAGCTTGTATGCACCCAGTTTTCCATATTTCTTTACTTAAGAAATTGGTTGGAAGTCCTTCTCAACAGTATTTACCCTTGCCACTCACTACAATTGAGTTTGGTCCTTGAGTACAACATTTCTTGGTTTTAGATTCCCGCATAATCATGCATAATTCCAAATCAATTCCACAAGTGTTAATTCAATGAGATTCTTTAGAGCCTTTTGCCACAACCTGAGAAGATGTTCAAGAAATTTGTGAGTCATTTATGCAATTCAAACCTTGAGGACAAGGTTGCTTTTAATGGAGGGAGTATTGTAATGTTAGTAAGAAATGTTGAAAAGAGAGACAAGGAGAGAAAGGTTGTTATGCAGAAAAGGCATGCGATTAGCAAGCTAAGGGCATTAGGAAAAGCATGAAGTAACTAAGAGAGAATGTATGTGTGTGGTATGATTCTCTCAATTCTCTCTATTTCTCTTTGTTCATTCTCTAACTAATTCTGATTTTTCTCCTCACAATTCTGATAAGGTTTTGAATTATAGTGGTTGCTAACTAACAATTTATCATTTAGAAGTTGTTGTTTCTTTTCTTTGAATCTTAATTGTTGAGATTATTTAGTTGTTTCATTATGAGTATACTCATTTCATGGTTATCAAATTCGCGAGTTAACTCGTTAACTCGGTTGAGTTTACGACTTCACTCAATGCTTTCGAATTAACTTGGAAGCAAACTCGAAAATGGTGTAGAATTGGTAGGTTTGTTGGTGGACTTGATAGACTCACTTGAAATCGTGAGCTTGCTTCCAATTTAGCGAGTTTGTGAAGAAATTTTTAAAATGTAAAACAAAGTCATTTTTGGCGCACCAGAGTAGGTTTTCTAATTTAGGGCCAATGACGAAGCTCATCTTCTTCAATCCTCTCTCATGATTCAATGGTGGTTCTCTCATTCTTGCGACTCATCTTCTTCGTTCCTTCTTGCGGTCCCACTTGCGTCTTAGCTCGAGCTGTCGCGAGCGCCTCTCTTGTTTTCGCCCACCATCTCCCTATCAGTGGTGGTCGCACGCCTCCTTCGTTTGCCTCTGTTTCGCACTCAACATGGTTATCATCTCACAATTCTTATGTTTTTAAGTTTTTAAGTTCAGCTCTGCGCTGTTTTCACAGTGGTCTCTCCTTTGTTTGTGTCTCTGTTAAGTAAAATGTTGTTGTGTTTAAGTTCTAAAGAAAACCCTCTATCACACTGCTTGGTTTTCATATCTTGTAATGAAAAAACATATTTAAAAAAAACTTCAAATTCATGATTAGAGATCATAGAATCACACTTTTTTTACATTTCAATTTATGCTTTATTTTATGTTTTATAATATTTATATGTTTTATAATATTTATATGAACAATATTTTTATGATTTTATTTATTTGAAATTATATAATTTTATAAATTTATTTGAATTAAAATATTATTTATATAATTTTTTTTATCTAAAATAAACTCTCACGAGTTTACTATTCGAGTTTACCGAACGGTCTCGAGTTTAAGTAAACTCTAACAACTTTGACTCATTTCAGATTTTTCAATTGTTGCTTATTAAATTTATACCATAAAATTACTCTTTCAGAAGGGTAGTAATAGAGTTGGTTCACTTATGTGTCGAAACTTCAAGTTTACACATACATGTAACGCGGATTGCACTATTTTCTTCACACAAGTGTCAACTATGTCATGACATTAGAACACAATACATTATTTTGTTTGTAAATTTTCTATCCTCGGGTGGTTATATTTCTCTCCTTAAAAATTTTCTATGATTATTTTTTTCCTAATTTAAATTCTAAGAAAAAAAAATTACTAAGTGAAGAAAGTTGTATGAAATGAAGTATGTAATACATTCTGAAAAGATATAAAACAGTTGTTACATTGTACAAGTTTGTGATAATACAACAACCAAGCTTTTTCACTAATTAATAGGAGTTACAAATCGCAGAATATTCCGAAAATCTATTCTATCAACAATCTCGCAAATATAAAAGCCATACTAAATAAAAATAAATGAATTCATAGATGACAATGCAAACAAATACCAGGCACGAACAGAGCTAGTTCCAAATTTTAAAACTCAGATTCTGGAAGCACGAGGGTAAAGGAGGACAGTTGGTTCACTGCAAATGTACACAAAGTTGTTAGCATGAATTACTGTGTAAACAAATCATACAAAATAACTTCCTGTTTCAATGAACACTAAGAGTTCAAACAACATAAAATTTTTAGCAGCTGGAGAACAAGTGATCAACTGTGCCCTTTGTTTTCCATAAATATATAAATGAAAACCAGCCAAACATGAAATAGTGAAAGAACATGTACAACAGAAAGCTAAAAAAAAAAACAATTTTGAGTAAATTATTTCAAAGTGGTACTTAAATTTTTCAACTTACATCCTTAGTTCAAAAATATGATAGATGGAACATGCTGGACTTTGGGGTAATCCTCTCCAGCAGTTCCAAGCCTGGTCTTGAATGATTTGGGCATCCACCTGATTTCTAGCTCCCGAAGACTAGTGATATATTTTAGCCCATCGGGAACCGTTTTTAGATTGTTGCAATCAGATATGCTCAATCGGTAAAGACTAGGCATGGCTTGATTCTCTATTGTCCAGTCATCTAGTTTAGGCAAGCCACGAAGTACTAGAACCTTTAGTTGAAGAAAACCATTTAGTGAGCATGTCATTTTCTTTCCAACAAACATATCCCACCCATTTAGAAACTTCAAGTTAGGAAGCTTCTCTAATGTTACCATTGGGTCTTCCACAAGTCTGCAACCCCATAAAGTCAACTTTGAAATGTGCCGAGGAAACAGTGAGGCGTCTGGCAGTCTTTCCATCCGCCCTTCAACCTGCAGTTTACGCAGGAAAGGACAGCCTAGCACCAATTTTTCAACATCCACTACATTTTCAGGGAAGGAAAGCATGTCAGTCCTCAAAGACAAGGATTGAAGGCAATCCAACCTTTTATTAGGGGGACTGAAACTTTCACTAAACTTTTGAAAATGTCTTGGGTCATTTAGCACTAGCTTTCTGAGCCTCCTTAACTTCAGTAGATCTTTTACATCACATTTGCTGGCAGGAAAATTTACTAGTGTCTGTAAATTAGTCAAATTGTCCAATTGCAGGTTGTTAACAATATTCCCACACCAATTTGGAAGATATAAATGCCTCAACCGTTTCAACTTACAGATTACATTTGGAATTTCCACTGTTGAATCCCAGCTCACTTTATTGACTGTTTGCAAATTTAGGAATTGCAGATTCTCCAAGTTGCCCAAGGAAGATGGCAGCACTTGTATACGAGTCCTTTTTAGACTCAGAAACTTCAACCATAAAAGATTTCCCACTTCTTTAGGCAATGACTGTCCCTTCAGCCCCTTAATTCCTTCAAGATCTAGAACTCTAAGTAATTTGAACTTCACAAAAACACCTCTGACTAGGTCCCAATTTTCCATCCTACACTTCTTGTCATGAAAAAATACAAGGGATCTGAGACGCTCATTCACTTGTTTGTCCTGTGGAATCAATTGATCAACATGTTGATCCAAGTAGACAGCAAGCCTACGAACTTCATTAATTTGTCTTGCATCTGATACGTTAGATGAACCAGTAGCAATAACGGTACTATTTTGTTGTGATCCATTGATAATGTAGAGAAAATTTTCTTTTCTGGCCTTTGACAAACACAGATCCCGCATTAAATCATGGAGCCTGTAGGTTTTTATCCTACCAGTAGACCCCATCTGACCAATTTGAACCATGCAGCGGCTAATTAAGTTACCCAGATAGCGTTCAGCAACATCCTCCATTGTCTCATCCCGGTCACTCTCATATTGAGATGAAACAACACCTTCTGCCACCCATAACTGCAGTAGTTTAGTTTTTGGTATCTCAGAGTCTTCAGGGAATTGACTTAAATACAGAAAACATGGCTTCAGTTGACAAGGCAAGTCCTGGTAACTTAAATCCAACACTTCATCTAATCTTCGCCTATCACGGACCTCNTTGTCTTGCATCTGATACGTTAGATGAACCAGTAGCAATAACGGTACTATTTTGTTGTGATCCATTGATAATGTAGAGAAAATTTTCTTTTCTGGCCTTTGACAAACACAGATCCCGCATTAAATCATGGAGCCTGTAGGTTTTGATCCTACCAGTAGATCCCATCTGACCAATTTGAACCATGCAGCGGCTAATTAAGTTACCCAGATAGCGTTCAGCAACATCCTCCATTGTCTCATCCCGATCACTCTCATATTGAGATGAAACAACACCTTCTGCCACCCATAACTGCAGTAGTTTAGTTTTTGGTATCTCAGAGTCTTCAGGGAATTGACTTAAATACAGAAAACATGGCTTCAGTTGACAAGGCAAGTCCTGGTAACTTAAATCCAACACTTCATCTAATCTTCGCCTATCACGGACCTATGCTCCTATTAGGTACGAACTTAGATGTCTATGTATTTTTTCCCACTCACTCACCGACTCCTTTGTAGCCAAAAGCCCTCCAAGAACGATGATAGCCAAAGGCAGACCAGCACACTTTGCAACCATCTCTCTGCCTAATCTTTTAAAGTCATCAGAAGTTGTGGAATCTGCAGAAAGTAACAGGCAATTATCACATTAACTAAAGCAATGGTCCCATAAACAAGTTCTTTTACCACTTTCCTCCAGAGATCACATAAATATGAAAGATAAATGAGAAAATTGGGAAATTATAAGATATGAAATAATGAAACAAACTATATGGACATCAATAGTTAAATACGTTTGCTAACTGAAGGCATTTCTAGGTACCTGGGTTATCTTGTCTTGGAAAAGCTTTCTTCTTAAACAATGCCCAACTGTCTTCTGCATTTAAGCAACTTGGTTCATGAAGAAAGCCTTCAGGATTCACATGCAAAGAAATGTCTTTATTGCGGGATGTAAAAACTATCTTACTCCTTGTATTTTGTGATGGAAAGGCAGGACTTAAAATGTCCCATGCCTCATTGCTCCATATGTCATCCAGGATGATCAAACATTTCTTCTCTTGTTGAACTTTAAACAACTTCCTTGCCAATTCATCATCTTTCATTTTCGTAATCTCATCCCTTTCTTCTTTTGTAGGAGAAATTAGCTTTAGTAAAATTCCCTCCCAAACATCTCTTTTCTTGCATTGCTGAGATATATATGCCCAAGCAAAACCATCAAAGTTTCGCCTAATAGTATTGTAATGGTAAATGCTTTTGGCAAGTGTAGTTTTACCAAGACCACCCATTCCACAAATATAAACAAATCGACAGTCCTGATTTTCATTTATTAGCCATTCCGCCACTTTATTTATGTCCTTATCTAAACCAACAATGAACTCGTCAACAATGTGAGAATAAGACCACCTCAATTGTCTTTTGACCTCAGACGCTTCCTCATTGTCTTTAGTTGCAGTCAAACCATAAGTTTGTAAGCTTCTTGTGAGGTCAGATATTCGAGAATTGATTGTTATGAGCTCAGAGCCAACTTTGTGAATATTTTTAGCTCTGGAGAGTGGATTTTTAGTTCCAATACTTATGCCAAATGCAACCTTAATAGCATAAATTTCAATCACATCCTCTGCATCATAGGCTAATTTTCTAACCTCCGAAATATAATTCTTTATTGTATCACTTTCATCCTGCCTGCTCTCAGCATCTCTTAGGAAACATTGCATCCTCTTTAATTCATTTTGCATGCTTTTGACTTTGTTACTCACCCCGCTTAACAATCTGGCCTCTTCAATCAATAGATCACCAAGCCTATCAACTGCAAAGGACACAACTGCCTCAACCATCTTGATTATTCTGTCTCCTTCAAGAACAAAATCATGAGGTAAAACTTCATATCCCATACGCGTTAAGTCTCACATATGAGACAGCTACTTTACTCTTATAAAACAGGCATTATATAGATGGATAGAATCCCTTAACAAAACTGGGCAAACCTAGAAACATGCTAAGATTGAAAAGAAAAGGACAAACTGAAGGTTGAAAAGCAGTAACAAGAAGAAGAATAAATGGAAAAGGATGTTGAAAGCTGTTGTACTTTCTATACAAAGTTAAATCTATACTACGTTCCTCCAATCCATGTTCCAGAAACCACAAAAATCCAGTTATGATGTAATTTTGTGCATATGTTACTTCAACAGCAAAGTAAATATCCCTACACTCTCAGAAGCAGACCACAGTTGACTTTGGAAAAATTATGCTCAATAAATTATTGAAGAATATCATATGCTTAATAGCGTATAATTTCATACGAAGCATGATTCTACAGCAGGAAATTTGTCGTTAGCATAAATTTAAAGCCAAAAAGTACAACAGGGAAATTAGTATAGAATCAATTATGGGAGCATAACCAACGAGATCCAGTCAAGGATGACCATATTGGAGAAAAAAGAAAAAGATTAAGGAACAACTTGTAGAAGAAGAAGATACACCTTCAGTTCAGAGAATATGGAGTGCCTCTTGTTCAACCAAATACGTGGTGTGGCAGTGCAAGGGAGAAGACGCTTTGGAGTTTGGAAGCTCCATTCATGCTATTTTATTGCATATTTAATAAGAAAAAAAAGTCAGCAAATTGAATCTGTTTTTTTTTTTTATTATAAATAATAATTTTGAATAAAATTGATTTTAAATTTAAATAATCTATGATGATTTTTTTTTAATTTTAAGATAATAATGATATTTTTCTACTTTTATTGAAAATAATTTTTTTCTATAAAATTTTAATTTAAAACTTATTCTAGATCATAACTAATTTTTAATATAAAATTAAATATGTAAACATCTATCTACAATTATGTTAAGTAATATTTCAACATGGTTTTAGATTACGAATGCGGATATTAAAAAAAGTGTTAAATAAATCTTTATATAATAACCTAATGAGTAATTACATTTTTAAATATATATTTCAACTTATTTGATATATATTGCCAGATTTTAATAAATAATTTTAGTAAATAGTAGTTTAATAAATGTTTATTTTATTATTAAATAGGAGATATAAATTTAATCTAGAGAAAAATATAAGAAAACATGCAAGGATTACGGAGATTATAAAAAAAAAAGTTATCTATATAGGTCAAACATCAAATAAAACATAAGAAAAATATATTTAACTATTTTACTTCAAGAAAAAATGTAAATAATGAAGTATTAATAAAGAAATTGATAGTAGCTTATAAATCCAATCCATATAACATGTTGGTTAAACCATAAAGTCAAATAAATTTGTTTGAATAGATTAAAATTTCAATCATTCCTAACTCATTTTATTATCTGAAGCCAACTCTGTTTAATTTCAGGACACCTAACACTGAAAAGGGTTCTATCTATTAATAATGTGGCAAGAGGGAATTATCTGAGGTCAAATTTTTGGGAAACTTGAACAAGAGAAGATACTGAAGCAACAGCATCCCTGCGCTGAACATAACTTTGTTTCTGCCTTTCCCTTCATCTCCAGGTTCTCCAACCAATATGATGTTCTATCTATATTGATTAATTGTTAGTTTTACATCTTACAGTATAAAAGCTGGCCAAGTATCTACTTTACAATTAGTCTAGTTTTATACTCTTATGTAGCTAATTCATATGGCATCTGCAGTTCATATGTTTGTTTCATTGCCACTGTACACTTTTACATATGTAATTTGCTTTCTATTTTTTTCTTTAGATAGATGGATGGCATGTTCTCAGACTACTTTTACTGATATGGGAAATATGAATCTCCATCTATGAAACTATCATCACTTTTAGCTGAATGAACTATTTGATGGTAATAATCAAAATGTTAGAATTAAAAATTCATCTCCCTTTATCTCTCCTTAATTTTCCATTTTGAACTGAAACACAGTGAATATGAAATCAAAACTGGCAGGTTAAGTTTTTAAAACTTGTGGTAGGTGAAAAGCAAGAAATTTTCTCTCATTTCAGGTATACAATCACATTTCAGTTATATACTTTTCTCTCAGTTTTGTCCTATGAATAATCTTTTCTAACAGGTATCTAAAATGGGACAATGTTTGAGCTTCTGCTGCTTTAAGCATACAGCTTCGTCTCAGCAACAGTATCCAACTGTGATAGAAGAGCTATGCCCTCAATTTTCTCTAGCCGAACTTAGGAAATGGACAAACAACTTTGACGAAAACCAAATAATTGGAATTGGAGGCCTTGGCGTTGTATATAAAGGCTCTCTCCGAAACAGTTGTGCTACTGAGTGTACAATTGCAATCAAGCGAATACATGCGATTACTGAGAAGGAACTTAAGCAGTTCAAGAACGAAATTGAGTTGCTCTGCCAGCTTCGCCATCCAAATTTGGTCACTCTGTTAGGATTTTGTGACCACAGAGACGAGAAGAATATTGTATATGAGTACATGACCAATGGATCTCTCCGTGATGTCCTATATTGTAGTGATATGAAAAAGAAGCCACTAACATGGAAGCAGAGGCTAAACATCTGCATAGGAGTAGCGAAGGCACTACACTACCTTCACACAGGTCTCAAGAGAACAGTCTTTCATCGTAACGTAATACCTTATAATATTCTTTTGGATAGCAACATGGAGGCAAAACTCTCAGACTTCCGACTTTGCTTAACAGGACCACATCATGCATCAAAGCCAAAACCAAAGACAATAACAAAAGATGGCTTTTCAGGTATTTGTTCTTGTTTTGTTGTATTGTTTATTGAAAAAGAATTTTACTGAGTACTACTCCAAATAATACTTTCACTTCTAGGTACGTATGGTTACGAGGCTCCTGAGATTTCAGAAAACAATACATTAACAGAAAAATGCGATGTTTACTCCTTTGGTGTAGTTATACTAGAAGTGGTATGCAAAGAGAAGCTAAACAGTGTTGAGAAGAGGCAGAAACACCCTGTTGAGGAGAATATTGATCCAAATATTAAAGGAAAGATTGCACCAGAGAGTTGGGAAGTATTTATAAACATCACAGAAAGATGCTTGAACTTTGATCCAAATGAGCGACCATCAATGGGTGAAGTGGAGGTTCAACTTGAGCTTGCTCTGTCACTGCAGGAAGAAGCAGATATAAGAAATAGCTGTGATGCTTATACCCTATTATCTATGACCATTATTAGTTAATCCTCAGCTACAGTATGCACTAGGCACCACTTTAGATGAAAACAAAAACTGACTGATGATGGAACTTGTTAATAACAAGTGAAACTCGTTATTCAATCACAGCACAGCAGATGATTGGGAAATTATTTTTTTATTAGCAAAAGGAATTAAGAAAATAATGCCAGACATTTATTTTAGAAAAAATATAGGAGATATCACTTTCAATCCAAAATTTTCTTATATTTATGAGTTTTTTTATTTATACATTGTTCATGTTATAATTTTTATTCAATATGAAATTTTTAATTCATTTTAAATTCCTAACATATTAAAATTACTTTTGAACTTAGTAGGATTATCCTTTTTACCATCTTCAAATTTTGATAATTTTGTCATATTTTTCATGGATGTGTTTATTGAATTACAATCAAACATCTTAACTTTTTTTTTCAAAACCTTTTTTTCATAGCTTTCTAGATAAATGAATATACCTTTTTTCAACTGTCTAACCTCTAGGTGCAAATAGTATGACATGAACCCTAGGTCTATCATTTTTGACATTGTCTTCTTGAATTCTTCAAACAAGCAATTGATGTCAGTTAATATAAAATCGTCCACATAAAGACAAACAATCAAAGTATCTTTATTATCATGAGTTTTGACAAAGACAACATACTGACATCAATAAAAACTATTATCTTGAAAGTAGTTATCAACGTGGTTGTTCCACACTCTTGATGTTTGCTTTATTCCATACAAAGTTTTCTTCAATTTTAGAACCTTATATTCATGTTCTTCAACGGTAGAGCCCTGCTTAATATGGACTTATTCTAGATAATCATTTACAAATGCATATTTCACATCAAGTTGATAAATTTTCCATTTCATTTCTGTTGCCAAAGAATTCATCCAATCTACTGGTGCATAAACTTTAAACTTTATTTTAGTCTACTTCATGCTTTTTCTTGTAACCTTTTACAAGTTGTATTTTGTATCTTTCCACCTCTTCTCTATTCTTAGTCTTTTACATCCATTTTACTTCAATTGCTTCATGACTTTTGAAAAGATTTGTTAATTCTCAATTATCATTCTTTTTAATTGAATTGATTTCCTCTTCCATGACATGTCTCAACATCTTTCACAATCTCTTCAAAATACAATGACTCACAATCAATTTAAAGACAATATAATTATTCAAGATAACAAGTAACTTTCATTGATTTCATATATATTTGTGTCTTCTTTGACCTTTCATTCACACTTTCTTCTTGGACATGAAATGTAAGTGATGGATGGAGTGAATAAAGACGACTGACATCTTGAATTGCAGTTACTTGATCTTCTCATTCTTCACCGAGATAAGAAAGAAAATTATAAGTTTTTTCCTTCTTGAACCTTTCAATTTCATTTAGTTTCTTCTTCGAATTCAACATCATGACTTACTACTACTTTTCCATTGCTGAAATTATATAATTTATAGCCTTTAAAATGAACAGCATAGTAATGAAGACTTGTTTGACACTTCAATCATCAATTTTAGATCCTATTTGTTTTGGTACATAAACATATGTTATATGCAAATTATTAACCATATACTTCCTTCCACCCCTGTTTCCTCAGAAATTTGATTAAGTTGGATTAACCCAACAACTTTTTATTATAGAAAAAATTATATAGTCATTAAGAGCTAGAAAAATAAGAACATAAAATAAAAATATAAATTTTTATTTTTTATTATTCTCGTATTAAGCAAAGATATAAAATATGTTACAATATATATAATGCATAAAAAATATCA